TAGACGTGTTGTGTGTGTGTGTTTTGTTTAGACGTGTGTGTGTTGTGTTTAGACGTGTGTGTGATGTGTTTAGACGTGTTGTGTGTGTGTTGTGTTTAGACGTGTTGTGTGTGTTTTGTTTAGACGTGTGTGTGCTGTGTTTAGACGTGTGTTGTGTTTAGACGTGTGTGTGCTGTGTTTAGACGTGTGTGTGTTGTGTTTAGACATGTGTGTTGTGTGTGTGTTGTGTTTAGACGTGTCTGTATTTATGCCGTACCCCTCGCAATCAGTTCAAGCCCTGTTTGGGTACGGGACGGCTTAACTCAGACCTCTCCCCGTGGTCGATAAAATAGGTACCACTCTGTGGGGACGTCACTGGTGGTTATCTTATTGATATAATCTGCCCATCCATGGGAATGTGGAATGGTCACCACTCTGGCTCTGCAGGGGATGTACGCAGCAGATGCGCACCAATGGCTCCTTGCCCGTGTGACCCGCGACTCGCTCTGTGGAACTGATGGGGGGGAGGGGGGGCTATGATGTGATGATCACGTGGTATCACTGACCCCTCCCGCCCAAACAGCCCCTAGCGTGGGTCAGAGTTCACGCATCCCAGAGGGAGCGAGCGTCGGGGGTCGTTCGCTCACGCTCGTGAGCTGAGGGGAGGGGTGATGGGGGGAGGGGGGCAGGGAGATGTGGGGGAGTGGCTGGACACGAGGGAGGACATTATAATAGGTGCTCGCTAACAGCAATTCTTCAACAGACTACCTCAACTCGACTGAGGAATGTCTTTCGTGCCTCCCTCCCATATCCGTCTCTGCTAAATTATAAGCGACTCTGGACCGGTTTCCACATCCAGTGACTCATCAGCAGAGTCGGGCTCGCTTCAATGAATGCCGCTGAAGTGCCAGATCTTTGTCGACAAGGACCCTGTCGCCGGGCCAACCTGCCCCAGGGCAACACCTTCGGGCCGATGATTGAGACGTGGCTGTGACATAGCTAATGTTCATGCTGTAGTGAGCGGTGCTATTCATCGCGAGTCGCGTTGCTGTGTGCTTGTGGGAAGATTTAACTACATCGCCCGGAATGCGTCCCATCTCGCCAGACCTCGGACGCGACGCAGGGCTTGAGCCTGGATAGTTCAGTTCATTTCTGTTCATTTCATTTATTAGGTATAGCCCTGTGAGCCATTCGGCTCTGGAATCGGGTGCAACCACAACAAACAAAAAACACAAAAACACGAACGAAGTTGTTGTTTGGATGGGCCGAGCACCATGCACAAGGTGCCGAAGGCTGCTGCGGGCTGCACTGGGCGGGGGGGGGTTGTTGTACTGTACTCCTGTACTCGCACGAATGCTCCACGGATTCACTGACCCCGCACTGACCGGCGTGGTGAAGTATGGTCAAACAGCAGAGCCAATTAAACACCGCAGGCGATGACGGCAGAGGAGGGCGGCAGGACACTCGCGACATCGAGGAGCCGAGTCCGTGGGTCCCCCGTCGGGGCTCGTGGGCAATGTTCGCACCGCCACCTAGCGGCGAGCTGCCGCGAACACAGCCAAAGGCCCTACAGCTTGAACTGACTGTTGGGGCAAGTGCTATTAGCGAGCAGCACCTATGAAGGGGTTGTCTGTCAGCAATGCTGCTAAGAATAGGCACTCCCAGCAGGCTGTGTTGCTGGTGGGTTGTGCAAGACATCGTTTGCGTAGAAGAGCTCACGGCGCATTGTGCTAACCACTGCGCCACCGCTCCCCAAATACAGACCCACGCACACCGAGATAGGGAAACCATACCACGTAATATTGACATGCTCACAAAACACACACGCACACACACGTGCGTGTGTGTGTGCTCATGCAGGAGTGTATGGGTTAGCTCGCTACTCAACGAACCCGGCGACACCAATGATGATTATCTGAATCGGTTTTGTGGCTCTCCTCGGTCGACTCAGCCTTAAAGGCGTATCTAGAGCGATGTGAACATCGCCACTGGGGAGACAAAGGCGGCTGGGTGGTGTTGGCCACCCACCCCCTCGTGTGCCATGGCGGACTTAATAGGTGCCCGCTAACATCACCTGCCCCAACAGCCTGTGTCGACTACACGGGGGATCTTTGTCTTTGTTGTGTTTGTGCGAGTGGGGCGCCCGAGAGGCTGACGTCACCTGCTCAGACGAGGTGCGGCCTCTTCTCATTCCTTCACTCAGTGGGTCGCAGCAGGCTGTGGCATGGACAGTGCAGGAGTCAGTTCCACAAATGCGCTCGGGGCGGCGGCGGGGGTTACCGTTACACTCCGGGGCTCTCTTCGGGATTATAAGACGCTGCGGAAAGTAAGACGCAGGCAAAACACACCTGTCACAAGTGTCAACACACACACCGGATTATAAGCACCCGGGAACTTCGTTTTAGAATAAACGGGGGAAAGAGTATGGGAGTGGCAGGGGAAGTGCGTCTTATAATCCGGTCTTGTTTTGCGTATGGGGGGCGGGTGATTGGGGATGCCTCCCCCTCTCCGGACGAGGATCTTGGTTGCTCGTCGAGTGAGCTGCCACACTCCGGCAGAGTGGCAGCTCATTACACAGTTCGCAAAACACGCTCAACACATTTGTCAATAATAACACACCGTGTAGGTGGCCTTAGCAAAAAAATGTTTAATATAACAGGTGATCTTCTTGGTTCTTTCGGTAAAGTCACGTAGAATGAGAATAAAACAAAATAAGACAATAACAGGTGATGTTTCAGGCAATGGCCCTTCAAATCACATAAACAGAGGTCAGTAGAGGGGGTGACTTATAGAAGTGGGGCACTGCACACGTTATACAGGGTGTTTGAAAATGATGGACCCGATTTGAAATCGCTCTATCCCTGCAACCACGAACCGCCGATGAATGAAACTCTTACCACTTGAAAGGGCGGGGCGTAGAGAGGGCGGGGCATAGAGTTTCAAATGATTACCGCCAGATGCCTCTCCCAGCGCACAAACAGCCCCTAGCCTCAATCATTCGCAAGACGGTGACCCCGCAACACAATGCGTTTTGCGTTCTGCAGTTCAGCAAGACTGAATCCGTAATTGCGGTGCAGCGTGCGTTTCAACGGCGTTTTGGCATTGATCCTCCAATGTCAAAGAGCGTTCGTCGTTGGTAACGACAATTTGAGGAAACAGGCTGCTGTTTATGTAAGGGGAAGAGCACAGGGCAACCACGCACCTCAGAAAACGTGAGATGAGAGGCGTTTGGGACGAATTCAACTATCGTCTCGATGTTGTCCGTGCAGCAGGTGGAGGGCACATAGAGCATTTACAAAATGGTTAGTAAAACTTGATAACTCATTAAACCGTTTGTAACTTTTTGTGTAATTGTAACATGTTGCCATCGTGAAATATACTGCTTTGAAATTGGGTCAATATTTTTTAAACACCATGGCCGGGGCGCTGTTGAGGATGACGTGTTTTGTAATGACCAGTCAAAATATAACGAGTTGCTGCTGCTGGCGCATTGCAGCTTTGGTCACGTGGTGGCACGAGACCATGTGACCGTCTGCACACACGCGGCCTGCGGCCACGTGGACACGCAATGCATAACGCACACGAAGAATAGATTATTATTCTAAGACTTCGTGAGCCAATATAATTACGAGGGTGTATCGTAGAATGCGGAGGAAATCGGAGCACGCGGAGAAAAGTCACGCGTGCGAGGGCGCAACAGTCTGACCCATGCAAAAGGGTCACATGGAGATGAGTCCACAATTGCCGTTTCGCCTTCTCTTGGCGAGCCAGGTTATGGCTCCTCGACACCCACGGGAAGGGAGTTTCACAACAACATGTCTGTGTGATCCACCAACCCTCGCTGCTGCCTCTGGAGTGCTGGATCACATGCAGCCACGTGCAGTGCAACCACCACCACCACCCGACACAACCGACAACAAATAAAAAAATCAAGGGGACGGACATCAGATCGTGGGTCAGGGCCGCATATTTTTTGCCAGGTTTATTTATTTAAATATTTCACCTTCACGACGCAACCGTGGCGACACTTTACTCCACTTGGGCGCACCACGGACAGCTGCCTCGTGGTACGGAGTCCCCGCGCGAAGACTGAAGGTCATCATTCCGCATCCGACGCCATCTCGGCTCGATTGACCCTCGCTCGTCACACGCATCCTCGCTATTCCGGTCCGACGGCAGAACGAGACGACGGTGTGGATAATCGCTTGAAATGGACCATCTCGGTTGCACGAGCGTCTGGAGCTCGCTGGACAGAGGGTGGAGTTGATTTGTGCTCTGCAGGTATCCTGGGAGCAGAGGTTTCAATCGGACCCTGCGCGTATGGTCAGGGCTGCCCTTACTTAGCATCGTAGACTTGGTTACGGCTCGTATCAAGACCGGCTCTGGCTCAAATGAGCCATGCGCATAACTTGAACTGGCTCTGAGCAACGGCCCCAGCTGCGCTGAGGATTTCCGTGAGCGAGCGGCTCGGCCACGGCTGAGCCGCTCGCTCACGCGATCTTTGGAAGCAGTTGAGCGTCTCGAGTCTGAGCTATGTTTCAAGTTAGCCTCAGCATCCAGTGTTAATAATTGTCTTGCATTGAAGTTTGTACCCTGAGGCTGACAGGGTCACTCGGTCCGCACCGCGACTTACCGACAGCAAAACAAAAGAGTGAATCACCCACAACCTCGAGCTCACGGATTCAACCTATGGCCAAGATGCGTTACGTTCGCGTACATACAGACGCACATACACGGACACGTACACGCATGCCGTATATACAGCGGCAGAGATGCCCCGTGTCGCCTCCCACAGACTGCAGGGGCAGGTATGGTTAGCGAGCACACATTATTTAGGCTTGCACGAGCCGGTGAAATGGCCATCACCACGACCGGCCACCCTTGTCTTCCTAGTGGAGGCCCAGGACCGGTTCAAATAATCGTTACTGGTGTTGGCCGTGAGTGGGAATGGAACTCGGGTGATCAGGTTCGTAGCGTAGCGCTAACTACTACAAATAATCACACACAGACACACACATACGTACTATACACCCCAGTCCGATCTTTAATTCAGTGCAAAAAATGCTTGGCGGTGCTTATTATTAATATACACATACAGCCCTTGCGATTTCTAGTGCAAAACTTAGTCTAAAAACAACACAGATACGAATAATAACATAGCAGGCAAACCGCATACAGACACCGAAGAATGGCAGCAGAGGCAGCCAGTGTCCCCGAGCCCGGCTCTGGCATCGAACCCAGGCGACTCCACGCGTCGGGGCTCTCGGCTCACTCCTCGCCCCCCCCCTCCCGCGCTCGCGTAGCTCGCTTCGTGTTCCACGACGAAGACGCCCACACGGGAGGGAAGCGGTGGCGGCGCTGTGCGATCAACGCTTGAGCCTCACGGCAAGAGGTCCATGGGTTCGACTCTCGACTCGGGCGCCTCGCTGTGCGGAGTTTGCATGTTCTCTCCCCGTGTTACGCATCGGTTTCCTTCGTGTTACTCTGCCTCCGCACGTAGCTAAAATGGCAAAGTAACCGCTATTGGCCAAACCTGCCCAATGTAGGACTCTCCCGAAAAAAGTAGCTCAGACTCAGCGTGGCTTTCTTGGGTAAATAAATAATTACTTGGAACATTACAGAACGGTCCGGCCAGTGTCTGCAGTTCCAAAGACGCGGCAGTGACGCGTGCTCGTTGTGGGGGGGCTAACATCAATCATTTAGAGGCTGAATCACTTCAAAAGAAAATAAAATGCAGAAAACGAATGTGAGCAAACAACAGCGCAATGTTGCTATGAGGTGCAGGGCACGTCAGAAACCCAGGCGGCCAAAAGCGCGGGCTCACCCGTTAGGCTTTTAAAACATTGTCTCAATACAACTTTGCACCCTGAAGCCTACAATCACCACCGCGGCAACGGGAGCAGAGTCGATGAGAGGATGCGTAGGAGAGGAGCGGGAGAGGGGAGGGAGGCCGGGACTGAAGTCGCCACCAACACGATCAGAGAGAGGGAGGGCACGGCTCAAGATGAGCAGCAGGGAGCGAGGGGGAGGAGCGGCGGTGCAGGAAGGGAAGAAGGGGGGATGACCGGGCCGAGATGTGTGGGATGAAGAGGGGGCGGTGAATTATGAGAGAGGAGCAGGCAGAAGCGAGCTGGTGGAGCTGCTTGGTTTTTTTCAAGAAAGGAGGGGGTGATTCAGAGTGTGGGTGGCCACTCAGAAGTCACGTGATTTACGGGAGGCTTGAGCTGATCGCCTTCAGTCTACCACGTGCTCTACCAACGGCGCCCCTGCGCCTCCTCGCCGAGTGCAGCTCCGAGGGGTTTCACTGTGGGGCCGTGTTGGATCCCCGCTGGAGGCGGGGAATGGGGTTGAGTGGGGCCAAGCCCTAGTCCTCGCTCCCTACCACCTATCGGCAATCCTATAGCTAATGGATACAGTCCACATATTTGTTTTGCAGTTGAAAATGGTAATTAGTTATCCAGCAAAGCCTCAGCGAGTCTCAACTCTTTCAGAGGGGTCCTGCGTTTAGATATTTGGTCAGTTCTATGTAGTGGCAGTTTGGCTTCGTGACAATTCCCGGGGAAAACAAACCACGCTTGGGAGGGGCGACACACAAAACCCCGCATGGATGGTTAAATAATCCCGTACGGTACTGATCGCCCTTGAGACAAAGCCTCCAAACACCTGGTATTCACACCCAAGTAGGAACCAGGCTCAATGGTGCATTCATGATGGTGGTGTGTTGCGCAGTGACATTGAGGAGCTCCTGTATGGATTCCCAATGTGACATGGGCCATTATACATCGCTGGATCAGGACGCCATTCACCGCCTGGTGCTGATTTGCGCTCTGACGTGCAAGGCGGACTGTTGCGCAAGGTGAGGTAAGGCTACAGGGTCGTGACTCGAACCCAGCCCTAGTACGGATACACAGACCTGGACAGCGGGGTCACAATGAGAGCCATCGTGAGATGCAGGGCTATGGGTAGGGCAATGGGTAGGGCGATGGCTATATGGTCAGGGATAGAGATTTTGGGCGAGCGTTAAATTTAAGACTGGTTACAGCTATGGTTACGGATAGGGCGAGTTCAGGTGCCGGGGCTGGGCTCGAGCCGGGTGTGAGAGGTAAGGTTCGGGGTAGAGCTTTGGGTAAGTCTCTAGCCAGGGCTAGATGCGGGTGTTAGAGCTGAGATGGGAACTTGCCACAGCGTAGAACCGCGAGTCCGGATCTAACGTTTTGGAGAGATAGCGCCGTCTCCTTACGCGACCTCCTCACTCAAGCCTTGCCTACTAAAGCTAGCCAGGTGTGTATGTGTGTGAGCGCACATTATAATAAGTGTCAATTATTTATTAAAGAAAACCTCAGACTCGCTTTCAAGAGGGTACTGCTAAAATTGGGATGCTTGGCCACGAATACCATTAGTGAGCGTTTGGCTTCGCGTGGGCGGCAACCGCAGAAGCCGGAGACAACCCACGCTGCTTGTATGAGGGGACAACACTCATCAGCCCCGCGTCTACAACACCTGGCAAGCCCTGCTTGGCTTTCCAGACGGGATAAGCTGTCACGGCACGAGGGGAGATTTGCCCAGCCACGAGGGCAGTGCTGCCCCCACTGCCCGCTGCGCCTTGCCGCACGTGCTATTAGCTGGATGCCAAAGGCACAGATCGGTGCTATTCACACATCTCAAACAATTATAATCAATAATAATAATGCACTTATAACCAATGCGATATAAAACCGAGCCGCTGAGGTTTGCTTGCTGAAACTGTCTTCTCAAACGTCAGCCCTCCCCTCTCACGAACCCCTTCCCATCCCCCCAATGTTTACCAACTTTTTGTCCAGTTACATATTCTATGAGGTCGTTACACGCTGCCCACAACAGATGGTTGGTGAACTCCAAGAGCTCACATTCCCTTCAAGATCTATCCCACCCACGTGACTCGTGTGACACGAGGAGCGGTGGCACAGCGGTTGGCGCACTACGTTACGAACCCGGTGAGGCGGCCACAGATAAGATCAGTGGCGAGTTATATATTGACCGCATTAGGGGCTCCCCTAGGTCGACTTGGCCTTAAATGATTGCCCGATGGCGATGTGTGAACACCTGTAAACATCAGCATTAGGGAGACAAAGGGATGCGAGCGTGGTGCTCACCACACCATCCCCTCGAGTGTCATTCCGGCCTTAATAGGTGCTCGCTGACTGCACTTGCCACGACACTTTGTCGTCCCATGGGCCGTAGAGGGCGCTTCTACGGTACATGAATGCATACTCTCTGTAGGTCGCGTGGGGGGTTGCTTCTCAATCATCAGGCACGTGTAGCGCGCAGCCACTGAACTGTACATTGGAGAGCAGAGGTTTGGTAAACGTGGACAGGCGAAGCACGGAGTCGCAGGGGCCGCGAGGCCTGGCTGTTAGAACGCTTTAGCTCAAGACTTCTTGCCAGGTTGGGTCCGTGTAGAGCACGGCACACCACATTCAACATACCTCTTGCTACGGGCTGAGGCGTGTAACAGTCACGTGCCACCTGTTTCAGTCCACTAGCGACCGGGGACAATATTCGAGGACCCGGCACACCGCATCCAGTATACTTCTAGCGATTGGCTATGGCTTCTAAGTCACGTGCTACCTGCTCGAGTTTTGTTTTTACCAGCGACCCAGTTAAATATTCCGGTTTGAGATTAATCATCCCTGCTCTCCAAGTGCAAATCCCCCCCACCCCCCTGCTCCTACCACCTCCCTACCCTCCCTGTTCCCAACCCCACCATCCACAGCTACAATAAGTATTGGTTAATCACAGTGAAAATCGATTCTTACAGCTCGCCACGCTTTCATCGCATGCAGCACTGAAGAGTAACGATGTCATCTTGTGACGCCGCTTTGCCACCGCCACTCAGGAGAGGGGATGGCTCAGAGGCGCCAGGAGGAACCACGGACGAGGAGCGGGGAGGCAGCAGCAGCAGCCACACGGTTGTGACGAGCCGGCGATACCAACAACTGCCCAAGCTCTGCGGTCCTCTATATATGAAGGTAGTATTGGCCAATAAAAATTCATACACGTGGGATAACGGAGCAACCTTAGAAAACCCACACGTGCGAGCGAGGGGGACATACTATCTCGTACCGATGGAACAGGTGGAGATTAGCCCACACTTTGCTGTACTGCCTTCTTGTGACGAGCCACGGTTATGGCTTCCTCCTCAAAGCCCACGGGAAGGGAGGTGGTGGATCACACAACATGTGATCCACCAACCCTCGTGTAACCAACACATGCGTCGATCACGCACGATCAATTCATACGCACACACGCAGTCAGATAGACATCGTGGGTGTTGGAATTAGAATGTTGATGATTTGTTTAAATGGTAATTGCACAAACCAAAAACTGAACTAAACAATTATTAAACCGTAGCTGCCTTGGCATGACTGATCCAATTGCTGTTTGAGCGATTGTTTACTGGCAAAGCCTGTTCCCTGCTAATGAGACGCTGATCGTGCACTCGTGTGGCTTACGTGGCCGCTGTGGCCGATGGGACGTGTGGGGACAGATGGTGGATGGAGGTGAATGATCGTCTGCCAAGTTTATATACTATATTTCCATTTATCGTGATTTGCTTAGCTTTTCTCTATTTTGTACACCTATCGTTTTTTTGCAGTTTGTTGTTGTAACTGGTTGACCCGCCCCTTCTGGACATCACCACGACGATGAATTGTGACACCCCCCACGTTAGAACCACGGCCACCCAATCCCACACAGCGTTGCGGGTCAAACACAGGGGGGTCAAGGCACAGTCACGTTCGTCACGGCAACGACAGTGATTATCCCACGCAGCGTTGCGGGTCAAACACAGGGGGTCAAGGCACAGTCACGTTCGTCACGGTAACAACAGTGATTATCCCACGCAGCGTTGCGGGTCAAACACAGGGGGTCAAGGCACAGTCACGTTCGTCACGGTAACAACAGTGATTATCCCACGCAGCGTTGCGGGTCAAACACAGGGGGTCAAGGCACAGTCACGTTCGTCACGGCAACGACAGTGATTATCCCACGCAGCGTTGCGGGTCAAACACAGGGGGTCAAGGCACAGTCACGTTCGTCACGGCAACGACAGTGATTATCCCACGCAGCGTTGTGGGTCAAACACAGGGGGTCAAGGCACAGTCACGTTCGTCACGGTAACGAGTGATTATCAAGCACACCCTCGCCATTGCTCCTTCCCTTCTGCCAGATCCCACGGCATCATCATCGTCATCATCGTCCACGGGTCTTATGTCTTCTCTTCCCCTTGGTCACTGAACTCTGGGTTACACTGCAATGCCCCTCTTGATTATCTGCCCCATTTCTGCCACCTTGCACACAACCAACCACGTGTCCCACCCATCACTACCACCACCTCCTCTTCCAGTAATAATAAAAAAACACAATACAAGAGCTATAATCGAGGCCCGAAGTTCAAAAGGAACTCTCCAGTGCTGCGGACTTCTCATCTGTACCAGTGTTTACTCCAAAGTCAAGTGCAAGAGGAGACTGGAGCTCCTGTTGGCAGGGCTCGAGGCAAGCACGGCGGTTGGCTGGTAGCAGCTCGCTCCTCCTGGATACCGCGCCTTCGCACGCTCACCGATAACGGCGGCACCGCGACCTCGGCGCGACGGGTGGTCGTGAATCGTGACGGCGGAGCGGTCGGCGGGGGAAGAGTCGAGGCTCTTTTTCACCGCAGGGTCGTCAACGCGAGAGGCGGTGGCGGCGGTGTTTTGGGAAGGAGTCCTTCATCCGGCAGTAGCAGCAACAGGGGACTGATCAAGGATGATGATGGTGGTGGTGGCGGTGATATCAGAGAGCCCTTTAAAGTGTTTCTGTTTCCAAGGCCCTTTTGCTGCTTGCTGCCCGCGTGGCTGCTCCTGGGCTCCACAGGAAGAGGTTACTTCTTCCGGTGCCAAGGGCATCTTCCTGAGCCCCCCACAATGCCCCCCACCCCACCCTCACAGAGTGATAAAAAACAACTTTACCGATGTTAATGATAACGCTGCAACCGGTGCGGTTTGTTTAGCTACTTACCTGGAGCCTCAACGAGTCTCAGGGCTTGTTGTTCAGGAGGGTGCTGCTACGTGGGGAGGTTTGGCCGTGATCCCTTGAGTGATGAGAGTTTGGCGTGGAAGAACCCCAGAGAGCACTCAGCGCCGCGCGTACAGTTGGCTCACGAGGCTCCGCACAGATAGATTCAATTCATTGATGGGCTTCCATCTGCTGCCCTTCAATAGTGTGCACATGGTCAAAGCGACCCTCTACCCTCATCTCCACTCGGGTCCACGAGCAAGTGGTGGAGATTCTACGTTTCCATGATGAGGGCAGTCCATTTATACCACCAGCGCTGTTGATACAGCACCATACAGTGATGCTGCTCATGATATTGATGAGTCGGTATGATAATGATGGGTATAGATGATAGTGATGATATGTGAAGATGATACGAATGTAAATTGTGATGGTTTTGATGATGATTGGATGATTACAGTGATGATGGTAATGATGATCCTGGGTGAAGATGATGAGGGTGATGATGATGATGATTGGTGCTGTGCCCTGCTATGCGGGGCACAATTCCAGCTGGGTCCAATCCACAAAGCATTTCTGTACTCAGCACACCACATCTAGTATACGTCTGGCTATTCTGGCTGTGGCTTTTACGAAGTCACCTACCATCTACACCGAGTCTACCAGCGACTCGGAAAACGTTTCTGCACCCGACAACACCACATCCAGTATACCGATCCTTGGATGTGATGGTGCAGTGGTGCAGGACTGAGTGTAAAGGGGGGTAGGAGGGGTGGTGGTGCCGCATTCGGGCCTGCAGATGTCACACGTACATCTCCACGGGCGTTTGGCGCCGAGACTTGCAGAGCAGGTAGATAGGACCCGCGAAGATCCCTGCATAAGGGAGAGGGAGGGAAGAGAGGGATGAAAAAGGAGGGAAAGAGAGGGAAAGAAATGGAAAAGGGGGGTGGGAGAGGTGGAGACAGAGAGCGCGAGAAGGGAGTGGGAATGAGTGACGTCTGTCAGACAGCGAGAACCGACACAGCGCACATGACGCCACACAGCGCGCGGACATGCACAGACACACGCAGGCACACACGCAGGCACACACGGGGACACACAAGGACACTGACACACACGCAGGCACACACGGGGACACACGCACCGACACACACGCAGGCACACACGGGGACATACAAGGGCACGGACACACAAGGGCACGGACACACAAGGGCACGGATACACAAGGGCATGGACACACACGCAGACACACATGCAGACACACACACGGGTACGGACACACACAACGACACAAACAAAAGACACACACACATACGGACACACACGAACACACACGGAGAGGGAAGTGGGGGCAGGGTGGTGGCAGTCCCCGAATTTATTTTAATCAGGGCACACCCCCCCCCCCCCCATGTAAAAACATCGTCACAATGGGACCTCGTCATCATGGTCACATCGTTACAATCAGACCTCGTTGTCATGGTCACAATGTTATGATGGTACCTTGTCATCATAGTCACATAATTACGATGGGATCTCGTCGTCATGGTCTCATCATTAAGATGGTCACATCGTTGCGGTGGGCCCTCGTTGTCACGGTCACATCGTTGTGGTGGGCCCTCGTTGTCACGGTCACATCGTTACGGTGGGCCCTCGTTGTCACGGTCACATCGTTGCGGTGGGCCCTCGTTGTCACGGTCACATCGTTGCGGTGGGCCCTCGTTGTCACTGTCACATCGTTGTGGTGGGCCCTCGTTGTCACGGTCACATCGTTGCGGTGGGCCCTCGTTGTCACAGTCACATCGTTGCGGTGGGCACTCGTTGTCACGGTCACATCGTTGTGGAGGGACCTCGTCGTCATGGTTACATCGTTGCGGTGGGCCCTCGTTGTCACGGTCACTTCGTTGCGGTGGGCCCTCGTTGTCACGGTCACATCGTTGTGGAGGGACCTCGTCGTCATGGTTACATCGTTGCGGTGGGCCCTCGTTGTCACGGTCACTTCGTTGTGGAGGGACCTCGTCGTCATGGTTACATCGTTGCAGTGGGCCCTCGTCGTCACGGTCACATCGTTGCGGTGGGCCTTCGTTGTCACGGTCACTTCGTTGCGGTGGGCCCTCGTTGTCACGGTCACATCGTTGCGGTGGGCCCTCGTTGTCATGGTCACATCGTTGTGGTGGGCCCTCATTGTCACGGTCACATCGTTGCGGTGGGCCCTCGTTGTCATGGTCACATCGTTGCGGTGGACCCTTATCGTCATTGTCACATCGTTGCGGTGGGCCCTCGTTGTCATTGTCACATTTTTGTGGGGGGACCTTTGTCGTCATGGTTACATCGTTACGATGTGACCTCGTCCTTATGGTCACATCGTTACAATGGGACCTCGTCGTCATGGTCACATCGTTACAGTGGGCCCTCGTCATCTGTGCCACTCACCGACGAGCAGCGCGAGGATTCCGAATATGACAATGGCGACCAGCAGCAGGGGGGTGGCACAGAGTTTGGCACCTGGGATGAGGCAGCGAGACGCACAGACACGGCGAACGGATGAGCGGGAATGAGTGAATGAGTGAATGAGTGAGTGAATGAGTGAATCAATGAGAGAGAAAGAGCGAGTGAATCGGTAAGTAAGAATGAATGAGACTGAGTGAGAATGTGCAAATGAATGTGTGAATCAGTAAGAATGAGTGAATGAATGAGTGAATCAGTGAGTGAGAATGAGTGAATGGGTAAATTAATATGTGGAAAAGAGTGGATAAATGAGGGTGAATTAACGAGCAAATGAGAGTGAATGGAATGAGTGATAATTGAATCACTCACATGTCTGTGGCTATTGCTGATTATGATGATGGTGATAATAACGATCATGACAATGATGAAGATGATGGTGATGACGTTCATGAAAAAGATAATATCAACAGTGATGACATCGATGACACTGCAGGCAATTACACATGACGATGGTTAAGATAATGATGACGACGCTGGTTGAGATAAAAACGATGGTTGAGATGAAGACGATGGTTGAGATGATGAGGATGTGGCATGATGAGGATGTGGCATGATGACGATGTGGCATGATGACGATGTGGCATGATGACGATGTGGCATGGGCCCCACCACAGAGCGCGCCGCGGACGAGGCGCCGCAGGTTGGGCCGCTCGGGGTAGTAGATGAAGCGGCAACCGAAGACGCTGTGCTTGGTGTTGTGGTCGCCAAAGAAGCGCAGCTCCCGGTAGCGCTCGCCGCAGCGGTAGCAGAAGTTGGTCTCACACTGCGAGCAGATCATGTGGTTGCAGCCTTCCGTCTTCTGGATGTGAACCTGGGGGCGATTTGCCCCGCACAGAGAGAGACAGAGAGAGGCAAGGATGAAGCGCGAGCGAATAGAAACCGGAGCAAAAGCAAAGGCGGTAGTGGAGGTGGCTGTGGTGGTGGTAGTGATGTCTCTGGCGGTGGCGTTTGTGGTGATGGTGGCGGCGCTAGTGGCGGTAATTGTGGCAGTGGTTCTGGTGGAGGTGGTGGTTGTAGCATTCATGGTGGCGTTGGTGGTGATAGCAGTGGTGGCAATGGTGGTAGCGGTAGTGGCGTTCGTGGTGGCGTTCGTGGTGATGGCAGTGGTGGAGGTGGTGGTTGTGGCAGTGGTGGCGTTTGTGGTGATGGCAGTGGTGGAGGTGGTGGTTGTGGCAGTGGTGGCGTTTGTGGTGGCGGGGCCCGCTGCTGGGCGGCGGGCACCTTGCAGCGAGGGCACTTCTGCGCGTTGCGCTGCCCCTGCACATTCACTTGCCCGGCCCAGCGCTGCAGCAGCTTGTCCCCTCCACGGTAATCCTTGCAGCTGACACCCTCGTGCCAGGGCGCGTGGCACGCGAAGCACCACAGCACGTGGCACTTGGGGCACTGCACCTGTGCCAGCGAGGGAGTGGGGGCGGGCAGCGTCGAGACAGAGCCACGATGCACGTCACAAAACGTGTTTTTATACAAAAATACTTTTTGCTCCTTTTCCGTGAAAGTTACCCATAGACCATGCCGACGAAGATAGAAAAGAGGAACCAACGGAAACGAAGGGGACGATGACCAGCGGTGGTCGAGACTAACGATGGAGCGGCAGCGGAAGGAGCGGGGAGATGGACCAGTCCATCGTGGAGATGGAGCCGTGAAATTAGCTTGTGCGCAGCTGATTGGATGGATTGTTGATCATAATAGATCATAATAGATGGCGTCGGCCTGGGGGAGGCCTTCATCCAGCAGTGGATGGATTATGACCCATGATGATAATGACGACCACGATGATGCTATCCGTGTCATGCAACGAGATGAAGAATCCGTTTGGAAATTGGCATGGGTTTTCCCTCCGGGTTCTCTGGTTCCCTCCCGTAGCTAAACTCACACACAGACAATGTCAATGTTGCTAGCCAAACATCCCAATGTGACAGGACCCTGAGAATGACCCTTCAGACTCCTGGGTGTGCAGTAGTAAAGTAAAAACAAGAAGCGACTCGCCTTGCTGGGGGGCCGCTCCTTGCGCTTCCTGCTGCCGCGCTTGACCAACTTGCCATGGGGGGCCGGCAGGGAGCCCCCCTCCACCGCGTCGCCCACGTCGGAGGAGGTCCCGTCGCCGGCGCGGGCGGCGGTGGCTGGCCCCCCTCCCCCCGGCGTGAGGAGGTGGCCGCAGCCCGGGCAGGGCCTGGTGCGCGAGCCGGCGCGGCTCAGCGCAAGCAGGTAGCAGAAGCGCGCGGCCTGCTCGGCGCCCAGGTGCGTGAGCACCACACGCTCGCTCAGCGCGCCGGGGCACTCGGGGGTCGGGCAGCGCACGCGCGCGCGGCTCAGCTGCACCTGCGCCCGCACACAGATCCCCCGTGGAGCCTTTACAGACTGTCGGGAACGTGCTGTTGGCGAGTAGCACCTGCGAAGGTTGACATGGCACACAAAGGTGGTGGTGATGTTGACACACGCCGCACACCAGGTACTCGTTGAAGGTCGAGTCAACATAGCTGATGCAAAGGAGACAACGGCCGGTTTAAATAATTGTCGCCGATGTTGGTCATGAGCAGGAATACAACTCGAGTCGCCGGGTTCGTAGCACAGTACGTGAATCACTGCACTTTTGCTCTTCGTGTGTGCAGTCCTCTTTACATTGCGGTGTATACTACTGGGTGGACAGAAGTGCCGGAAGGGGGGGGGGGGTTAATAAACTTGCTCTGTAGTTCCAACTGCCGCACCACCGGGAGATGGAATTAAACCGGCGACCTCTGGATTACATGTCACAGTGTGACACCAAATCTACCCCACCCTGCAGCTGTCTCAGTAAATAATCCAAACACGCCGTGTTTGTTGCTAGACATGAGATGTGTAGTAAAAATCGGAACGAATTGTTTGTTTTATGTTGTGGTTGCCGGTAATGTAATCAATACAACCATCTCAGCTGGGCCTCATCTCACGACGCTGGCCCCGCATGTTACTAAGTCGTGAGGGGGTATACGGGGAGTGACACGGGGTTCAGGACCTAGGGGGTTGGGTTTAAATAACACAGGCGGCGGTCAAACAGGGACAGGCACAACCGGTTGGGCGACCGTTTCATACGCGACATTTTTTGTTCACAAGGTTAGGGAAACTGGCGAACACACGCGTGGATTGACGCTCTACAATTCTCGAACAAGCGTCTTCATACATGTGGAATTAGTGACACGAGGACCAACGTGAGCTAGATGAGAGGGCTAAACACTTGGTCTCTACCGGACGTCTGCTCCACATACCACGTCTCGGCAGGGCATTCCCAGCATACGTCTCAGACACCTTGGTGGCTTCACCATCGCCCTAATATCTTTGGACCGGAAGATCGTAACCAGAGTCCAGTCAATATTTGCGGGCGAGGGCCAAGCATTGGCGGAGCCAGTGGGGGGTGGGGTGGCACATGCCACCCAATAGTCTGATCGAAATCCCTAATTTCGATCGGATCATTGGGGTTTATTAGTAATAAATCGGCATTTTGCGACCCCCATTGCCACTGTGTAGCATATTATCATGTGCAAGGGACTCTATGAGATGATAGGACAATAGTCTGAGTCCATAATTGGCAATAAGTAACGGCAATGCAGTTATAAGTGACTCAGAATTGTGCGCAGTTGCGTATACAGTACACGACTTCCCTAAAGGCAAACACCTTCAGCGAGCGCGATGCCGATCACACACGGTTCAAATTCGACCCTCCATCGATGGCTGTGCCATCGCCGCACACGCGTCTAATAAAAAGCAAGGGACAAGTCCTTACTTACTAACAACTCCTATCATTTTTCATTGGGGCTAAGGGCAGCAGTGAGACTCCTCCCTGCTCGCTGCTCGCTGTGGTGGCAAGGCTCCGGGATGGAGACGCTCTAGGGATTATATCGAAGTCCGGGCCACCACCCGGAGCGACGTTTCCATTCTCACCGGGGAATTCCACTTGTTGGCAAACGGTGCTGCCGACGGAGCTATCTCTCCATCTGAACGACTCTCGCCAGCACTGAGATGCTCGCTGCACCGTACAAACTCGGCCAACGCAGCCATCGCTGGAATAAAGACCACCTTCCTGATGAGACAGCGATTGTCAAAAACCGCTCCGGCGTATTGCTTGCGTTGAATCAGCGCCGCTAAAAGTACGAACTCCCAGAAAGAAGGCCATGTGACCGACGGGATGTGTAAAAACAATCTTTTAATTTGTTTTCCATGGAGGGATGGATATAGGGAGGAGGCGTATCATCTGCCTGTTTATTTTGTTATTCATATTCTCCGCAGCGACGGTGCTGGTGATTGTGTTGTGACGTTGGTTTTGTTAAGCGATCGCTGCGGCTACTGCTTCTGCGCTGTCCGCCCACTCGGGACCCCCACGAGCCCACGGAGCACCAGATCACTCAGTTGGCACACAGGGGTGATCATCTGGTTATAGTGGCCAAACATCCCAAGGTGGAAACATCCACGCTGCGAACTTACTCAGCAGAGATATACGCACGACAGAGATACATACACGGCAGCAACATCAGTCTCACTGCTGCTGCTGAGAAAACACAACACAGGTTTGTACGTGTGAAAAACTGGGAACAGTTTTAAACCATATTCTTGGTTCTTTCGGTAAAGTCACGTAGAAGGGAAACAATAAAATAATAAAAATATAAAACAAAGTTTTGAACCAGTTTTATACGCTCGGTTATTATGCAAAAATAACAAGTGTAACAACCACAGTGTGGGCTCAAACGGAAATCCCAGGTTCAAATTATTATTAAAATAACGCATGTATACCCGGACAGGCTCGCCGAGTCTCCCCTCTTACTGCTGCTGTGGGTAATCCCAATGGAATAGTTCACGGGTTATTTTCCAGAATCGGGATATTTGGCCAAAACCAATTCCACGGTGTGTTTAGCTGTGGGGAAAAACCGGCGAACCCAGGGGAAGCCCATGCAAAACATGGGGAGAGAGGATTCAACTCCGCAGAGAACGGCACTCAAGTCAGGAATCGAACCCAGGGCCTTGCTGCTGTGAGGCTCATGCATGTTCTGTATATACGTAGCCAACCGTGTTAATCTGAGGTGCTGGATAAGGACAACAAACTAAACACACAAAAAAACAGTTCTAAAGAAATGCACGCTGCAGGATAAGTGCCCTGGGGTGCGTGACTGAGTCAAGCACCCCCCCCCCCCCCCATTGCAAGTCACGTGTCCCACCTGCCTCACCTGTATTACCTGCTCCCCCATCACAACCACCACCGCTCTTGACCCTCTCCGTGTCGGCATTCACACGCAGCGAGTGGGCCCGCCTAGGCAGGGCCCATCGTCATCATCATCAATCACCATCATGCCCGATGGTCGAGACTATCAACAGGCACGCAGTCCAAGGAGGCCATCAGCGGCCACATGGCTAAGAGGGTCGTCTCCCGCGGAGATGGAACACTGGAATCAGAATCAGCTCGCGTGCACGAGCTGGATGGATCGCAACATCGTGTAGACCATGAGAGATGGCGAGACAACTTGGGGTGGCGAGGGGGAAATCGTTCATCCAGCAGTGGATAGAACACGGCTGATGATGATTATGAGAGCCACCCCCACCAGCCATAGTATTTCTCAAGAGTCAGCATGGGGGGGGGGGTGGTGGGTCTGTGTGCTATTTGTGTAGAGGTCACGGTCGTTATTACCTTGGTAATAGCCGAGCCTCGCTCATGCTCGCATAGTCTCAAGACTCACCAGGAGGGTGCTGCTCAACCGTGGGCATATCCACACACGCGTTTACAGGAACAGATAGAGAGCCCACGTTTCCTTACAGACAGTTGAGGCAATGCTGTTTGCGAGTAGCACCTAAACTATAAACTAAAAACACTCAAACTTTTTTTAATTTACCAGGTAAGGCCCACTGAGCTATAAAGCGCTTTTTCAGAAGCGACCTGGCCACAAATACCTCAAAGAAGTGGATTATCACGTGGAAATGTATAGCAGCCAAATACTCTAATGCACGTTTCTAAATGTGGAGGCTAAAACCGGAGGACCCGGAGAAAAATCCACGGTACTACGGGGAGAGAGACACCGAAAACTCCCACGCGCTCCGTATTCCAGGCGAGGTAGTTAACGTCTCTCCACAGTGGCACCGATGAAGGCCAGCACGACACATGAGGTGGCGAGTGGCCAGCACGACACGCCGGGCCGCCTTTGTCTCCCTCGTGGCGATATTTACACACCGCACCAGCTACTTGTTCGAGGCGAGGAGCCGAGCACGCACCTGGCTGGTGCAGTAGGCCCGCATGCACTCCCCGCACACGGGCTCGGCGCAGCAGCCCAGGGGGTCGCACACGGCGGGCAGGAGACACACGCGGCAGGGCGCGAACACCAGCGGCGCGGGGAGGTGGTGCGGGGCGCTCTCCCAGCCGTGCGCAGACCACTCGCACTCTCCACCACCACCACCATCACCACCACCACCATCACCACCATCATCATCATCGCTGTCGCTGTACACCAGCTCCACCTCGTGCCCGTGGCCGGCTGAGGCGATGACTTCTCCCGGCTCTTTCCGTCTACCCGCCGCGTCCTCCCTCGCGTTCTTCATCTCGCCAGGAGACTCCCCGAGGTGGTGCAGGTCGCCCATGGAGCTCGCAGAGTCGTAGCCGGTCTCCAGGCTGAGCGCGGAGAGGTGGGCGGCTGCGTGCGGCTCAACGCGGCTCACCACGTCGCCGCTCACCACATCGCCGCTCACCACATCGCCGCTCACCACGTCGCCGCTCACCACATCGCGTACGGGCGGACAGGAGTTGGCCATTTCCTCCTGGAGCCGCGCCGCGGCTGCCACGTTACCGCGTCGCAGTTTGACTTCGGTGGTGGCGGAGTGATCGCGGCCAGAGCTCACATAATCAACATCGTTACCATCATCCTCCTCCTCATCACGCCCATCATCGGGTCCCGTCAGCTCTCCCCCCGCCGTCTTCCTCCACACGCCGGCCTCGCTGGCGATGGTGGAGATGACGCAGCGACGCAGCCTTCCTCTCCTCTCCTCCTCGTCGTCGCCTTCATCCTCACCCTCGTCCTCGTCAACCTCCTCGTCATCCCGCGTCTTGCCGGAGGCGTGGCGCCCTGCCATGGCTTCCCCGAGCGATGGCGGAGGAGGAAGCGAGCGGGCGGGCGAGCGAGTTGTGGAGGAGGGTGATGGAGGAGGTGGATGGTGATGATGATGTGAAAGGAGCTCTGAGTCCAAGTGTTCAAACTTTGCTCAGGCCGCGGCTTGCGACTGCGGATGACTCGGCGTGAACTCGTGCCGTGACTGCCAAACAGCTGCTGACCGCCGCTCGATTACCCCTCGATAATGAATCCGTGTGCTCTCGAGGCGGACAGGCGGGCGGCACTGCTGCCAGCACCGCCCGCTGTCTCCCCTCGTCCACGCAGCGTCTCTACGCGTCGCGATTAACGCGGCCACAACAATAACAACAGCAGCAACAGCATTGCGGACGAGGTGGTGTCAGCGCCTCATGATTCCTTCCGTGCGAGTCGCGCCGCGGGTATCCGGCTTTCGAGAGCTCAGCAAGCGCGCAACTTCCTGCAACCTTTAGCGACGGATGTGACGAGGGAGCCCGGGTACGTGGGGGCCCGGTCCCACCCAGGTGTGGGGGGCCCGGTCCCACCCGGGTACGTGGGGGCCCGGTCCCACCCAGGTGTGGGGGGCCCGGTCCCACCCGGGTACGTGGGGGCCCGGTCCCACCCAGGTGTGGGGGGCCCGGTCCCACCCGGGTGCGTGGGGGCCCGGACCCACCCGGGTGTGGGGGGCCCGGTCTGACCCAGGTGTGGGGGGCCCGGTCCCACCCGGGTGCGTGGGGGCCCGGTCCCACCCGGGTACGTGGGGGCCCGGTCCCACCCAGGTGTGGGGGGCCCGGTCCCACCCGGGTGCGTGGGGGCCCGGTCCCACCCGGGTGCGTGGGGGCCCGGACCCACCCGGGTGTGGGGGGCCCGGTCTGACCCAGGTGTGGGGGGCCCGGTCCCACCCGGGTGCGTGGGGGCCCGGTCCCACCCAGGTGTGGGGGGCCCGGTCCCACCCAGGTGCGTGGGGGCCCGGTCCCACCCAGGTGTGGGGGGCCCGGTCCCGCCCGGGCGGATGAATGCAATGTCTGTGGCCTGTGAGCACGGCTGACCTCAGTGGCGAGTGTAACCCGTGAACCGACCCTAACCCCGCACTGAGCAGCGTGGGGAAGTATGGTCACAACCCACGTGACCCACACGGCGAGACGAGGGATGAATAATAATGACAATAGTGAGTGATGTTGTTGTGTGGTCGAGGTGAACACCTGTGCTGTTGTTGTGTGGTCGAGGTGAACAGCTGTGTGTGCTGTTGTGTGGTCGAGGTGAACACCTGTGCTGTTGTTGTGTGGTCGAGGTGAACAGCTGTGTGTGCTGTTGTTGTGTGGTCAAGGTGAACAGCTGTGTGTGTTGTGTGGTCGAGGTGAATAGCTGTGTGTGCTGTTGTTGTGTGGTCGAGGTGAACAGCTGTGTGTACTGTTGTTGTGTGGTCGAGGTGAACAGCTGTGTGTGCTGTTGTTGTGTGGTCGAGGTGAACAGCTGTGTGTGCTGTTGTTGTGTGGTCGAGGTGAACAGCTGTGTGTGTTGTTGTGTGGTCGAGGTGAACAGCTGTGTGTACTGTTGTTGTGTGGTCGAGGTGAACAGCTGTGTGTGCTGTTGTTGTGTGGTCGAGGTGAACAGCTGTGTGTGCTGTTGTTGTGTGGTCGAGGTGAACAGCTGTGTGTGTTGTTGTGTGGTCGAGGTGAACAGCTGTGTGTGCTGTGCACCTGCCGTGGGGTGTGATGACGATGATCATGACAGCTGCCCGAGGGGGGTGGCCATTGTTTTTTCTGGGTTAATATAGGGGCCCCCTATTTATGTAGGGTGTTCGATTTAATAAGAATTACATGCTTGACTCCCCCACACCCCCCCGCAGTGGGAGGTTTCTAGAAAAGCAGAGGGGGTAGGGTTAGAGATAGGGGCAGAGTCAAGGACAGAGAGTTAGGGTTGAAGTAAACGTAAGGCCTGTTTAGTGACGGCGCTAAGGTAATAGTTACAGTTGATGTTAGAGATAGAAGTAAGTTATATATAGAGTTAGCATAAGAGATACTGTAGCATGTGTGAGGGCGCCTGTGTGTGGTGTGTGTATGAGGGGGTAGAGTTGGTTCCTCTGTCAGTCATCTCAGTCAACCCATGGCACCTGAGTCTGTTCCGTGACCTGCCAGCGGGCCGTCGACAATTCACGTGGCTTCAAAGTGCACCCAGCGTGGCACAAGCGCCGTGGTGACGTCCCCGTCCCTTAGTTATGAACGGAGTTTGTTGTTGTTGTGAGCCGTATAACACACACGCTGTATTTTACAGAGGACGTGGCGTGTGGCTCATTGTCTGGAATTCCCTTCCCCTGCAATCCGTGCTGTAGACTCCCTGCCCCTCTTCAAGTCCAGCCTCGACCTTCCCCTTCTGTTCTTCCTATGACTGACCGCCCCTCAGTCTCCCTCGCCATAGACTCACACAGAGACTCCCACAGAGACACACAGACTCACAGAGACACACAGATTCAGAGAGACACACATTGACTCCTACAGAGACCCATGCTCTCACATAGACACGCAGAAACAGCCTCACACAGAGACCCATAAGCCTCCGATAGAGGCCCATAGGCTAACAAAGAGCCCTATAACTGCCTTTTTTCTATAAAATAACTGTGCCCACTGTTGTCAGATCTGGTCCCACTTAGACGCTAAATACATCCACACCGCACATTGTTGTATCTGAGAGTTAAACAAATCCAAGCCAAGTGTATTTGTTTAAACTTAGCCTAAATGGTTGGTTTGCAAGCTTGTAAATTGTGGCGTGGTGTGGCTTTGTTAATTGCCAAAGAGTAGTTAAATTTCGCATTATTAGTTAAACTACACATCATCTTCTGCTTGTTAGGGCCAAGGTGAAATCACGCGCCCTACTTTCTACTAACAGTCATGTCAGCTGGTATCAGTGCGCCGCTACTACCGCACCGTGGTCGCTCGTTCTCGGCGCTAACTACAATTATTGTCCACGCTCTACCGTCCTTACTCTTCAAATCTAGATTAAATCTCTACCGTCATTATTCTTCACATCTAGATTAAATCTCTACCGTCATTACTCTTCAAATCTAGATTAAATCTCTACCGTCCTTACTTTTCAAATCTAGATTAAATCTCTACCGTCCTTACTCTTCAAATCTAGATTAAATCTCTACCGTCCTTACTCTTCAAATCTAGATTAAATCTCTACCGTCCTTACTCTTCAAATCTGGATTACATCTCTACCGTCCTTACTCTTCAAATCTAGATTAAATCTCTACCGTCCTTACTCTTCAAATCCAGATTAAATCTCTACCGTCCTTACTCTTCAAATCCAGATTAAATCTCTACCGTACTTACTCTTCAAATCTAGATTAAATCTCTACCGTCCTTACTTTTCAAATCTAGATTAAATCTCTACCATCCTTACTCTTCAAATCTAGATTAAATCTCTACCGTCCTTACTCTTCAAATCTAGATTAAATCTCTACCGTCCTTACTCTTCAAATCTAGATTAAATATCTACCGTCCTTACTCTTCAAATCTCGATTAAATCTCTACCGTCCTTACTCTTCAAATCTAGATTAAATCTCTACTGTCCTTACTCTTCAAATCCAGATTAAATCTCTACCGTCCTTACTCTTCAAATCCAGATTAAATCTCTACCGTCCTATATATTTTCAGATATTTCACGTATCCAGAGAAAACCCACGCATACAAGACTACGACACTCTTCCATAGCGAGGGGACAGGTGGATACGAGTCCACACTTTGCCTGTACCGCCTTCTCCTTCTCAGCCAGGGAATGGCTACTCCTCGTCGCCCACGAGAAAGGAAGTTAACAACATCTGTGTGCGATTCACCAACCCTTGCTGCCTCGACAATGCTGGACCACCAGCAGCCCCGTGCGTAGCCACCACCGCCCGGTGCCTGGCGGTGAGTGCACTGCGCGACGTTGAGTTTCCTTCACGTGCGCGACGTTGAGTTTCCTTCACGACCGCGACTCACATCAGTGACGAGTGGTGAAAGTTCAATTGTATTTGTTTAACAAGATAAGATATCAAGAGAACATGACAAACTCACTTGCAAGTGACCTGGTAAATGCACAGCATTATCGAGAACAGTTTCGTGTCGAACTCGCGAACATTCTAACAGACAAGGTGGCTGCGGCTGAAAATGATCCATTCCCAGAAGGCCGCATGGAGACTGACGGGATGCGGAGACAATCCTTTCATTGTTTTACATTGCGGGACAGACGATGCTGCTGCTGCTGCGTTGGCAGTGGTGGACACGCGCAGCCAACAGCAACGACACGCCGCTCCATGTCAATAACGCTGTGTGTGGCCTTAAAACAATATATACCAGATGACGTTTCGGGCAATGACCCTTATTCGTAGCACATACAATGTGCGATGCCAGGCGACGTATCGGGCAATGTCCAAAATGTGCAATGAAGGGCCATTTCCTGTAACGTCGCCTATTTTATATATATTTCTCTTAAGGCCACACAGTGTAAACTGAGGAATGTGTTGAGTTTAGTTTGTATTGTGTTTCTTATATATTGTAGCAGGCGAAACAAAGACAACGATCACCTGTATAGCCTCAACAAACTATTGGGGTAATTACTGTGAGCGAGCACCTATTAAGGCCCGTTGGGCACACGAGGGGGTGGGTGGCCAGCACCACGCCCGGCCCCATTTGACTCCCCAGTGGCGATGTTTACACACCGCACCAGCCACTAATTTGAGGCGGAGTCGACCTAGGGGAGGCCCAGGATCGGTTCTGATAATTGTCACCAGTGCTGGCCGTGAGCAGGAATCGAACTCGGGTGACAGGCTTTGTAGTGTAGCGCGCTAACCGCTACAATACCGCTCCCCACTGAGACACACACACGTCTGTCTGATCACAATACAACCGGCGCGAGTCCACGTGTGAGCCAATTAATAACGAGTGGGGAGGCAGTGGAGACAGCGAGAGAGAGAGTAATAAGCTGCGCGTTAATATTTAATGACCTTTATCCGGAAGGCAGGGGCTGTTTTGCCTGCAGGTTATGTAGCAAATAACTGATGAGTGTGCCTTTGTTTGCCTTAGCGATTCAAAGTCAAAGCTACGTCCTGTTCCCTTGAGCCACATTGAGACATTGGTGCTCATCTCCCGTTTACAGCCCTGCAGAGCCGGGGGCGAGTTTATAAGATCGATCACGGTTGATCTTTTCCACAAAGTGGTACCCATTTTATCGACTCCCGAGGGAGAGATGATGGGTTGAGGCAACCCACTCCGTCCAATATTTATACTGAAACGTATTTGTATTTATTTATATAGCAATAATACAGAAAGGCGTTTGATCGACGTTGTGGGACATCTTTGCTGAGCAGCGGAGCTTCGTGGAGACGGGGAGCATAGGCGGTGGAGCAAAGTACAATACAATAACAGGTTTTATCTGCACCGCCCTTTGCTGACAAAGCAGTGCATTGTGGTCGCCCTGCCAGGCGCTATACAGGCCCCACCTGCTTAGCTTATGAGCGCATTGCGTGTGATTTGGCCATGAAATAATAACAATAAATACTAACAATGATGTCACCTTGAAACGCGCCGCTCCGCACAGGAGTCGCTCATCGCTCTTGTAGAGAGAGAGGACGACTCGGAGGCGCCAGGAGGAGGGACCACAGATGAGGAGCGGCAAGGCAGAAGCAGCAGCAGTGGCAACGCGGTGAGGAGCCGGCGCCAAGTTCCCCCAAAGCTCTGCGGTCCTCTATATATCAAGGCGTTATGTTTACACCTGGAGAAACCCCACACATGCGAGGGTGCAACACTCTATCCCATACAGATGTAACAGATGGAGATTAGTCCACATTTGCTGATGGCACCTCCTCCACGCTCACGGCAAGGGGTGTTTTCGCAGCGTTTCTGTGATCCGCCAATCCTTGATGCTGCCTCCACAGTGACAGGCCGCGTGCATAACCATCGCCGTGCGTGCAGCTGAGGTCACCAGCTGCTCGATGCATGACGAGACACACATAGCCGACGGGACAGGTGATTTGATGCATATGTGTACAGTACTGCACTGTTTACAGATCCAGTGACGATAGACCCTGGGACTGGTCGATATAGAGGTGTACAGTATACATCGGTGGGTATATACAGGATCATAAGCTGCCATGGTCCATCCACTCTTGGATGAAGGCCTCCCAAACCGTCTCCACCCCTCCCACGGTCCGCATCCTATAACTGTGGAACTCATCAGACCAGCTGTTGTGCAATTGACGACGAAATGTTTACATGGATATAAATAGCACAGAAGACAAATGCTCCCGAATAGGCATGACATACCGTTGAGGCTAGTGCTGTTAGCAAGCGCCTATGAATGCCAGCACAGTACATGAGGTGCGCATCTATAAAACACGCACACTTACGTTCGTGTAAGTGTCTCTATGCGTGTAGGTGAGCGTGCGCGACTCCCGTGCCAGGCTAGGTGCACGTTTAAATCAGCGCCCAGCCAGTTGGTCGCTGCTCGCTCCGTGCCCTTGGTGCCGCCGCGCCCGTGAGGTTATAAACGGCGCCAGAAAGCGGACACCGCGACTATTTTGGGCCGTGGGGCCCACGGGGGCCACACCGAAGCCATCTTCCGTCCGACGCTGAGACAAACAGACGGTCCTGCGGCCTCAACAAAGACCCCCAGAGCCGAAGGGGACCGCACACGGAGCTCACCGCAAGGGCTACGCAGAGAGAAGGGACAGCCCCCTTTGCTCGTGCACGGGATTTGTGTGAAGAGGTGCAAGGAGGTGAGAGCACTGCGTCTGATTAAGTCGAGGAGCAATCTTTCTGATGGGAGACCCCGGCGAAGACACCCATGGAGGTACGGAACTAAATCACCACGCTTTCCACTTCTCGCATCCCTGTGATTTTATCCCTCTAACTCGCGTCCTGACTCTCACTTAGATTTCAGCTTCGTGAGACCGAGGGAGTCATATATCTATGCATATTTTACTGAACATTCAATGTCACTGGTCTAAAGATGAAAATTTTAAATATGGTAGGCGACATTTTGGGCAATTTCCTTTCTTCGGAGCACCAATTCTCTTAAATGGGTTTTAGTTATTTGTGTTTGTGCACCACTACCAAAGCAATAGCAACAAATTATACACAGTATATATGCACACATCGTTTCCAGAACATGAGCAAGCGCTGCTGATGTGTTTCATTGCTGCCCGTTTGGATGGCCACATTCTCTCAAAATGTCTTGAGTCGATGATTCTAGCAAGACAAAAAGGCCACGTGTGCAGTTCTTAGTGAGCTGGTGGTCGAGATAAGGCTGACAGCATTTGCCCTTGCGATGCGGCACACCTGTGTGTCGTTCACTCTCTGTGGGCAAATCACCCGGAGCGCACCCGGGCTCGTCAGATCCCGGAAGCTAAGCGGGGTTCAGCCTGGATAGTGCATAACAAGGTGATATAGGCTGCTGCGGGACTTCGTTCTGGGCACCAGAGAGCAGTGCAGGAACATCCACGGTTGTACTGCACTGCTGTGCTCCCGCGTATGTGCTGCCCGCATTCACCAACCTGCACTATCACTACCAAGTACGAGCTGTACCACGTGGTGAGGCGCTCATCCAGAAGTGGATTGACACGAGGGCTGTGCACGTGCGGCTATTCACATCTGCCATGAGTGAAATACTGTTACACACACATCCAGGAAAGTCACCCTGAGTCTTAAGGCTAAGTTTCAGGAGGGCCCTTCCAAGTCTGTTTTCACAGCAGAGGGGTTGATGTCGCTCCGGCTGCCAATGCTGTGTGTGTGTTGAGCCCAATTGAGTAATGTGCAAGAGATTGCTCAGCATTGGGATGTTTGGCCAATACCAGTTACACTGTGTGTACGGGTTCGGCAATTCTCTGGCTGTTTCAATCGGGTTTCTGGAATTATCGAAATCCGCAAGAGATACGCACACGGTTAATACCGCACTGCCACGTAACGCTGTCTAGAGCAGTATTTGGCTCTGTGACTCAGGCACGGAGGCAGCTGCCACAGCAGTGGCGTAAGGATTGGTGTCACTCATGGAGCAACTGCGATCCAGTGGTCGCCGGCTCCACCTGATCTCCCGGAGTGGTAGCTGAAAAATGGGGTGCATGTATGCGTACCTGTGTGTCCTCGTGTGTCTGTGTGTCTGCATGTGTATGTGTGTGTGTGTCTGCGTGTATGTATGCGTCTGCGTGTGTCTCGGTGTCTGTATGGATCTTTGTGTCTCGCTGCATCTGTGCGTGTCTCGGTGTGTCTTAATATATCTGTATGTGTCTCTCTGAATACCTGCCTGTGTCTCTGCGCGCGTCTCAGCCGTGCCTGCCGAGGAATCCCCCGAGCTGTGCGCTCCCTCCCCAGCTTCTGCCTCCTCCTCGAAGCCTCCTGTGGCTCTGGGCACGTGGGTCGTGCTCGGCTCTCTGCTAGTTCTGTGGCTCGCAGCTTCCGTGGTGGCTCTGGGATGGGTCAACTCGCAGTCCGTCGGTGAGGCTGCGGGCCGGCCCGCGAGGCTGTAACCACGGCTGATTCACAGTGCACGGGGCAGACAAATGCCGCGTTTCCACCACCAGGTGCTTGCTTAGGGTCTCGCCCGTTCCAGGGGCTACGCCCCACCGACCACGGAGCCCCACGACCGGGTCCTCAACATGGTTGGAGATATCAATGCGTTAAGTTATTGGAAAACTTCACGTTGACCACGATAGTAGTCAACGTGAAGTGATGAAAAGGCGAGCGAGTGACTGGAGTGACTTTGTGAGTCTCGTGGGCTACGTCTCGCCGCCCCCACCCTCCCCACCCCCTTTATGGGCACCCAGAGATTGCATTTGCAGGTCATAAGAGAGCATTACATTTCTCACACCTCTTTGAACCAACAATGTAGGGCAGTTCAATTCCTTTTACTGAGACGGCGGTGACTTGGCCCAGAATGCATTGCTTAGTCAGTCATGTTTTGTCCTCACAAGAACACATTTTCCCACAATGCAATGTGCCAGCAGTGGTTTATAATTTTACGTATCAGATAGATGCGTTTGTTTAGTGACAGTGATACTTTGTGATTGTTGAAGGGGTGGTCTGTTAATCACTACCTGCTGTTGGGTAACTTTTCATATGCCTATTTAAAAACTGGTCATCAAAAACAATGTAATTCTGATCAGGCCGCATGGTCTCCAACTCTTATCATCCATTCTGTCTCTCTACTGCATCTCTATGTATGCGCTATGAAGAAGGACCATTGTCCGAAACGTCACCTATTATATATGTGTGATTCATTTCAAGGCCACGCAGTGTTGTTGTTGACGAACGTGTTGAGTGTTCTTGTTGGCTGTGCTTGTGCACTCCTGCCAACGCAGCAACAGCAGGTAATCCGATTGACAAGAGGGCCACTGTTTACCACCCGCCCTTGTTCCGAGTTGTCCCCTGGGACACTCGAGCCAGGTTCTGAATGAGCTGCGAGTGAAAGCGCGCGGGCAGCTCCCTCGTGAAGCCGAGACGCCCGGCCTGCTTAGAGGCCCTGCAGTCACCGGTGACTGGGCAGAGACCATCGACTCGCTCGACTTGAGAAGCCCGTGGTAGTAATACACTTGGCCTGCCATCCAGCATTATCAAGGTGGGGTTGTCGGACCACACAAATGTCGCAAAACTCTTTCCCGTGAGCATCGACGAGGTGCCGTACCCTGACTTGCCAGGAGAGGCGGTACAGCAAAGTGTGAACTACTTTCCATCTGTTCCTTCTTGCATGGAATATAGTGTTGCGCCCTCGCTTGCGAGGCTGACTCTTACGTATGTAAACACTTATTAATCGGTTGAAAACTTCTTAAAATATAGAGGACTGCAGAGCTTGGGCAAATGTTGGCAGCGCCAGCTCACCGCCTGGCTGCTGCTGCTGCCTTCCAGCTCGTGGCTGTGGTTCTTACTCGGCGACTGTGAGAGGTGCACTTTGAATGAGCGGCGCTAAATTAAAACGCCACGTTATTAATCGCAGGCAGCTGAAACCGGATTCCAACGCGCATGGTGCCCACTGAGTAATAATATAATCCTTGGGCACCTCTGCCAAGTGCCCTTATACGTGCAGACGCATCCTCGCGTCTCCTGCAGTGCTGCTAGCTTCAGTTACAGAGGAGGCAGCCCTCCCACCCCGTCTCGCCCTCTCGAATGAATCGCAGACGAATCGCAGATGAACCGCCCCGACCTGTACGCTCCAGCGGCCCTCCCGAGTCTCCTCGCAGGTGGCCGTGCGTGGTTGGCACGCGCCGAGGCGCACAACAATGAAACAGGGCCCCCTGTCCCCAAATCTCCTCTTGGTGAGCCCGGAACCTGGGTCCCCTGACCCCTGGGCCCCAGTACAATTGCGCAGCATGCACACTCGAGTCAAGTCCGCTTGATGGTAATTAGCCTGTGGCGCTAGTTTGGACACAGGGCTCCCATCTAAGGTCCCATCGCATCGAACACGCAAACAGAATACAGCAAAGATAATTTTAGAAAGTAGATGACATCTTGGTTTTTTTAATCCAAAGAAAAATCACGAAATAATTCTTAAATTTTGAAAACAATTCCCCACCATCACCACCATTCTCGCAATCACCACGGTCACCGCACAAGAGATGCGGTTGTGCGGCAATGGCTGTAGGCGAGCGAGAGCTATGCCGCTGGGCTTCTCTCCACGCATGCCCAGCTGCAACGCTGTCGGTAGCGGCTCCCTGGCCCCGCCACCACGAGCAGGGCGCCCTCAATGCACCCTGCGCCGCTGGTATCCAAAAGCCAAGCTGGGGTCGAACCCGGGGAGTAATTGCACGTGGGACTGTTGGGAATAGCAAGCGTGGTAAGCTCCGGTTGCGATGTGGCCAGGATATGGCCGTTCTAGCAGTGGACTTGTGAATCCATCTGTGCGGAGAGTTAACTGTTGCCCCCCGCCCCCGTATGCGTGCTGGGGGTTCTCCGCATTCTCCGGGTTGCTCTCCACGCGAAGACAAACTCGCATTGCCAAGGAATTGGCCAAGCATTCCAAAGTAGCAGTACCCTCATGAAAATAGTCTTGAGGCTCAGTGAGGCTTTCCTAAGTAAATGCCAATGTTATGAAAGAGAACACAGGCACCATACGTTATCTGGATGAAGTTTCAATCGCCGTGTGCCACCCTTATCCCCAGCCCTTAGCTGTCCACCTTTTCAGGAAATTGCCATTGTCCGTCATATCTTACTGAGGGACTCCTGGCTTTTCCACATCTGGCAGTAATCGTTCAAGCGAGCCTCACTCTGCTGATGGGACATTGTTCAGAGTTTGCTTGGATTAAACAAATGGTGCTGAAATGTTGCACTCTCCGGGAAAAGGTGGTGTGGCTGATTGGATGTTTATACAATGCCTGTATATTGTATTTAGAGGAACAGATGTGTGAATGAGGTGGATTGCTGTCTGCTCTGCTCTTGATTTGTTACTTCACTCACAGGAGCGGTGACACGGCCACGCAGACAGCGCCAACAACTGAGCCCGATACCGCAGTTCGATTCCCTGCACCGCCTTGAGCTCTGTGATTGTGTGAAGGCCCTCGAGTGGCAGTGAGCCCTTCACAGAATCAGCTCTTGAGCTCATCCGCCGCTGGATTGGAGGCGGCCCGTGGAGATCAGGGTTATTTGAACATACTTCACCACGCTACAGATCAGTGCATGTTGGTGAAAAGGAATGGGGGGTCAGGAATGGGTTGGACACAGGGTTAGAGTTTACGAACGTGTGGAGATGGCGCGGTTGTAATCGGGCATACGGGGGCATGACGGGTGTGGCGATGTTGCAGGGCACGTCGCGGACGTGGACGAAGAAGCGGGGCTGGGCTACTCTTTCCTCACCTTCTTCTTTGATGCCTTTGAACCCGAGTCGGTAAAGCCAGGTGAGGTCCACTCCTCCCGTCGTCTGCACGCTTCGTGCCGTGTGCAATGTGTACCGTGTGCAGTGGGGGGGTTCTTGTTCTACACATGGGAGTGCACGGCTGTAGATGCGTGTGTGGGGAGCGGTGGTGCCGTGGTTAGCGGGCCGCGCTACGAAACACCGGTGGTGGGTGCATTGTGCGTGTGTTGGGAGCGGGAGTGCAACGGTTAGCGTGCTGTGCTACGAATCCGGTCACCTGAGTTAGATTCCCGCTCACGGCCAACACCAGTGACGATTATATTAATAGGTACTGGGCCTCCCCTAGGTCGACTCAGCCTCAAATGAGTAATTGGTGCGATGTGTAAAACATCGCTACTGAGTAGACAAAGGCGACCCGGACATGGTGCTGTCCACTCAGCCCCTCGTGTGCTGTGACATCTGTTAAGGCTATACGGAGGATCTTTATCATGGTGTGTGTGTAAATGGTGCGTGTTCATGGTGTGTGTCCACGGTGTTTGTTCATGGTGTGTGTGTGCATGGTGTGTGTCCACGGTGTTTGTTCATGGTGTGTGTGCACGGTGTGTGTGTGTGCATGGTGTGTGTTCACATGGTATGTGTTCATGGTGTGTGTACACGGTGTGTGTCCACAGTGTGTACACGGTCTGTGTGTGCATGGTGTATGTCCACAATAAAAGTTTTTGGGTTAGATCGCTTAAATATAAATGTGTCGAACCCCTCCACCACCCGACACAGCCAGTAATGTGTGTCATGTAAACAAATGCGACAATTAGTTACTACTACAGCCCACCGGTGTGTTTGAGAGTAAATCCACAATATTGTGTGCGGTGTGTGTGTACATGGTGTGGACGTGATGTGTGTGTGTGTACATGGCGTGTGTGTACATGGTGTGTGTGTGCGTGGTGTGTGTGCATGGTGTGTGCGTGGTGTGTGTGTGTATCTGTTATGATGCCCACAGAGGAACCCGCAGTCAAGTCCGCCGGTGACGAAGCCAAAAAAGCCAAAAAGAAGCGAGCAGAGAAGGTGGTGGAGGCAGAAAAACCCAGCAAGAAGAAACCTCTCAAAGAGGTGAAGGAAGTCGACGAGAAGCTGTTGAAGAAGAGCAAGAGGGAAGACAAAGAGGAGAAGGTAGCCCACAAGCCCGACAAGGGCCGGGACGCGGGAAGAGAGGGGCAGGGAGGCGGCTCAGTGGGCGGCGTGAAGTCGGGGAGGAAGAAGGAGGAGGGGGAGAAGGAGGAGGAGAAGGGGGAGAAGGGGAAGAAGGAGGAGAAGGGGGAGAAGGGGAAGAAGAAGGAGGAGGAGGAGAAGGGGAGTAGCGGTGGCGGCGCGGGCAAGAGAGAGGGCGGCGCTCGGGACGAGGGAGCGGAGAAGAGGCGGGACAAGGGCAGCGGCGCGGGCAGCCAGAAAGGGGGCAAGCGGGAGCAGAAGGGCAGTGCGACAGACGACAAGGCGGCGAAGCGAGGAGTAAAGGTTAGCGGCCATGCTGATGAGAAGGCCGGGGCGAAGCCGGCCAAGAAGGGCGGCAACAACGGAGATGGAGGAAAGGGAAAACATCCCAAGGACAAAAATGACAGCGACAAGGAGAACAAGTGCCACGGGAAAAAGTCCAAATGAGCGGTGGAGCGGAGTGTGGATCAGCGGTGGCTGACATCTGAGGTTTGCACTGTGGGTGATGATGTGTGGCCCAAGTGGAGGGCGCTCTCCCAACACACACACTCACCTCTCATCTGAATCCAGAGATACACTCGTTAGGCAAGTGGGTCCGAAAACACATCACCTTCTCATATTATTATATTATACAGTGTCGAAATGTTACGTGTTCTCAAGATGCTCTGCAGGGCACACAAACAAACACAGCAACATATTCTTGCTTATTTCGGTAAAGTCACGTAGAAGGGAAAAATAAACTAATAAAAATATAAAATAATAAAATTCTCACGACGTTGCGACTGCAACACAAGCAATCATCATCAGATGTGAAAACCACAACAAGAACATTTGAAAAAAAGTGGCGGTTTTTTAACATTAGCACCACGGATAGCGATTTGGCGGTTTGTTCAGATTGACGAGTCCATCTATTTTCGGAAAAGAGTAGGGGGGAGACGAAAAATGATGGATGCGGTCTGAAAGCCACCTTAAGCGTGATCAATCAATTAAGACCCGAAATGGTTTATCAAATCCTTCCAATTATTGCTAAGCCAGAATCCATCTTCTCGGTTGAAATTGTCTCTGTGTTTGTATATGTGGATAGCCTCATGAACGAATCTCTCATGGTAGCCAGATGGCTTGCAAATAACCTCTGTCTTGGATAAGTCAATCATTGGAAGGATTTGATAAACCATTTCGGGTCTTAATTGATTGATCACACTTAAGGTGGCTTTCAGACCGCATCCATTATTTTTCGTCTCTCCCTCCTCTTTTCCGAACATCTGAACAAACTGTCAAATCGCTCTCCGTGGTGCTAATGTTAAAAAACCCCACTTTTTTCAAATTTTCTTGTTGTGTTTTCACACCTGATGATGATTGCTTGTGTTGCAGTCGAAACGTCGTGAGCATTTTATCGTTTTATACTTTTATTATTTTATTGTTTCCCTTCTACGTGACTTTACTGAAAGAACCAAGAATATGAATCCCTGCAGTCACGAAAGCTTTAAATCAAAACACAGCAACGTTTATAATCAACACGATGGGTGACGCCGGGTCCTCGCCCGTCGCGAGTTGATAGTCTCAGCCCGGTCACCGATGAATACACACAAAAAAACCCGCATCATTGAATTTGGCAAAAATTCTACCTCTTAGAAATGATAAATAATGGTTTGACCATAATGCGACGAATATTACTCATAGTAGCACAGTAAGTGGGCAAGTGCTGCCCTCTGCTGTGTTGATCAGAACTCGCTTGAACAAGAAGGGCTCTCGCTGGTAGCTCTGTGATACCCGCTTCCGTGGGTCGCGCGAGATTTCCGAATGGGTTCTTCATCTCGTGACGTGGCGACTGATGGCATCGCATCCTGGATACTCTTGGGAGGACTTTGACAATACGAATCTTAAGTTTCCGATTCAAACGCTACATTTCAGTCACCCACAACTCAAAGTTCTCTCCTGCTCGTTTTAGCATTGAGGAATTGGTGCTCATCTTTTGTTTACAGCCCGCAGACAGTCGTGGAAATTCCACATTCTTATGGCAGGCGTAAATAAATCGATAGTACAATCACTGTTGATCTTTCTCAGAAAGTGGTACTGATTCCAGCGACTCAGGAGGGAGGGATGATGGGCCGATATACTCCTGTCAATATTATAACACTCGAGTGGTTATACCTACTATAATCACCTCGGAATGTCTGTCCTTAACGTTTGTGACGTCACTCCACATCGACCAGCCCAACTCATTAATATGCATGAGCAGGTGACGTCCTCCAAATGGACACCCCCCCCCCCATTCATAATAATTATCGGCTGACGTCACTCCACATGGGGGGCCGAGGCGCCTCCTCCCTCCTCCTCGGCGTCAACTTACAACCCTCATGACAAAGGCAGAACCCTCACGTCACGCGATTTCCGTAACGCTGTTGAGACATCAAAGTAAAAAGGACGTCATGATGAACAAGGGATTATAACCTTAAAATGAAATAAGTCTGTCACCGCGCCCTTACAAATTGCACACGCATTGATGCATTGAATATCAGGTCGCGGGCTGCTTTTCGTTTGCAAGTTTCAGATTTACTGCAATACACCCGTCCTTTGACTGGCAAAAGGCTAGTCTTATAGATAAAATTGCCCCCACCATAGGAATGTGTAATTTCCACAACTGGCTCTGCAGGGAACACGAATGCCTCGATGCTCTTGTGAGCAGGAACTCACTATGACTTTTCGTGAGACGTCACTGTTGTTTGCCGTACTTTTAATACCACTGCAGTGACGTCACATCCCTAAAGAAGTACGTCGGTCTACCTGAAAGTCACTTTAACGTAATTTCTTTCCTCACTAAGCTTCAAGCTGGCACGGGGCAGCCCTGGGCACGTAACCTTGGTGTATAGCTACAAGAGAAGATCAGTGCTTGTGTGTGTTGGCCTGGGTCTTTCATGTGTACAGTATGAGCATTGTGACCCAGCGCAGAGCTCGCCCTGAGTTGTCTTGCCTCGCGACATCAACTCCGCGGTTGCTTTTCGCTTTAGCCGAGCTGTGGTTGTTCACGAGGTACGAGGCAGCCCCTTATGGGAGGGAGACAGAGATAGAGAGAGAAATGAGAGAGATACAGAGAGGGAGATGGGAGTTCCAAACACCGACAAGGTGACGATATATGATGGGGAGAGGACAGCCCGAACACTAACCACGTGGATAGGTGTGACATAGGTACGTCAAGGAACGTTGCAAAATGCCCAGCTCGTAATTGTGGAGAGTGCTTGCAACTTTATGTATGTGCCGACATCTCCACGCTTGTTGCACTGGTTGTAAAACTACAAGCGGTGACCCTGATGGGCTCTCGTCTGGTTCAATAAAGCGGTGCTTCTCATCTCGTTATCCACGGCACTCACTCTCGAGCTCGCTCGATCTTCGCGGCCACACCGAGGGTGGGTAAGGGTGGGTGAGTGGGTGGGTGCGTGAGTGGATGCGTGAGTGGGTGGGTGGGTGAATGAGTGGGTAGGTGAGTGAGTGGGTGGTTGGAATAGCGTTGTAGCTGAGATAATTCACGATCCCCTGGTGGTGATGTTCTCATTGAGAACAAGGATATCAAATGAGGCTTCCAAAATCCGTGGCAAACATGTCCCTAACTGCGTGTCTGTGTGTCTTTGTGTACGTCTCCATTTAACTGTGTGGGTCTCCGGCCTCTGTGTTTGTCTTTGTGTCTCTGTCTTTGTGTGTATCTCCATATTTTGTGTGTCTCCATGTCGCCGTGTGTGTATTTGTGTCTGTGTGAGTCCGTGTCTCTGTGTGTCTCTGCGTGTGTCGCCCTGTCTGTGTGTGTCTCTGTGTGTCTTTGTGGGTGTCTACTTGTCTCGGTGTCTGCCCAACTGCTCTTGTACTACCCAGGGAGTTGAGGGGGCTGGAGGTGAGGGCTTACGGCTTTCTGCCCCACCTCACCGCGACCAAAGGAGAACGGAGGGCAAGAGGTTGGGGGTGGGGGCGACACTTTCTATTTTTTTATTTTACCAGGTCAGAAGGCCCACTGAGATAAACAGCTCTTTTCCAGAAGCGACCTGGGCACAAATGATAGCTCAAAGAAGTGGAGTACCGTGTGCAAATGTATCATAGCCAAACACTCTAAAGCTGAATTCCAACCCTAAGATGAACCTTAACATGAGCCCTCACCCAAAGACTAGCCCGAAGCCTGTCCCTGAGCACAACTCTACGGTTTATGAAAAGTGTAACTAAACGTATCGAAGGTAATCATTAACATAATATAATAATTTCCAATACATTGCTACAATGACAAAGCCACTCACACGCACAAACACGTTTTGGTGAACTATTGTTGCGTCACAAGGTCACGTGGCATTGAACACAGCCACTCAGGGGGCTGCTGCAACTGGGCCGCAGAGGACACTTCGTAGCTGCGCCACACGGGGGCGATGTGGAGTTGGGGCGACTCCACGGCGACTCTCCAGTCCCCCCCCCCCGCACGCGTTGAGTGATTGAAGCTGTAACTCCGTTAAATATTTTACAGGTGACTCCTTGGCTGGGTTGATCTCAGCGGGCATACGAGGGCTTGCGACCTGTCTGGGAATCGGCGCCTGTGTTCGGGTGGCAGGATTTGAGTTGCACCGAGGTCTGCTACCGGTGTTGGTGTGTTAAATTCTAGTTTACGATCCTACACTGCACAGTTTTGATAATAGACCTGCGCTGCCTGAGAAACGTTATACCATAGAGCTCATTGCATTTCTGACCAACACCACCTGACCAGTGAATTAAAACATGTACATCTAGCCCTCAAGATGAACGGTTACTCTGACCGTAGCATCCGCCAAGCTGTTTCTCCCACCATACAGAAACAACCACTTGACACTCCGATCAAAAGCATCACACTGCCATACATAGCAGGCTTTACCAAAAAGATTTCCAAAATTCTAAACAAACACAAGATCCAGGTTCGATTCAATACAGTACACAAAATCCGTGATCTGATCCCATCCGTAAAGGATGCCATCCCTGACTTACAGTACCCCGGTGTTTACAAATTGAGTTGTATCTGCGGTGATTGCTATATCGGGGAGACAAAACGACATATTTCTGACCGAATTCGTGAGCACAAATCAGATTTGAAACACGGCAGAACGAATTCGTCGGCCGTAGCTGATCCTTGTCTCAACACAGCGGGTTCTCATGAGATTGTTTTCTCCGATACCAAAGTACTATGCAAACCTCCCGGTTATTACCAAAGATGTGTCCATGCAGCCATCCGGATATACAAACATAGACACAACTTCAACCGAGAGGATGGTTTTAAATTAAGCAACCACTGGAAAGATGTCATAAACCAAGTCAAAACTTTAGCTACCTTATAAGCACACAGCATATTCTTTCCGAACTTTTCCTTTTTTTGTTTCCATTTTTCCATTGCCCCTGTGCAGTGGCCCACCGCATCCACCGCACCCTCAACATAACAAAAGACGGATTAACTTAGCCCCGCACAACATCAATGTCCCCTACTTGACTCCTCCCCCCCCTTAACCTGTATCCTGTATTTAAGCTCGAGGCTCTCAGAGCCTCCCCACTTGATGCAGCGATCTTGCT